GTGGAACAAGGGATTGAACTCAGGCCACTGCGCTTGTCAGGCAAGCACTTATTCCACTGAGCCATCTTCCCGGACCATCTGTTTACATCATCAATTTGCACCAGCAGTCTCCCTGGAAGACAACATCTTCTAGGGCAGTGAAGTGGAACTTTTCACAGTGCTCAGTGATACAAACAACTTCAGCCATCCCTTCTCTAGGGGATTAAAAGTCTCCCCTGACAACAGAGGCCCCAAGTTTACAAAACACTACAGACAATACTAGATGCCTAAAAGATCTCAGGGCAGGAGGAAAATAAAATTGGAGGGCAGATAATCTTGCTAGATAATCTCTATACTAGATAATTTCACTAGCTTTCACATTTGCCTGCATCGCGGGGACCCCATGACTTACTCTGTACTAGAATGGAATTTGTGGGTGCTCAGACCCTGAGGGTGAGCACCTCACCTACTGGCGCCTCCCCAGCTTTACCGCTGGGCCAACTTCCATTGCCCGTCACCCTACAGCAGGCAGAGACTATTCGGGCTCTAAAGAACAGCAAAGGGAACATCTTCTAATAGGATTTTGGAAGTTGGATAAAAGCAAATACGCAAAAAACAGGAAGCAATCCCTCCCACCAGGAAGTCCTATAAGAGATCCCCATATTCTAAAAAATAAAAATTTTTTAAAAACCAATTCGGGGGGCGCGGGCCGGGGAGATAGCTCAGCGATTCGAATAAGCGCTTCCCTGGCAAGCGCATGGGCCTGAGTTCAATCCCTGGTTCCACCAAAAAAAAAAAAAAAAAACCAACTCTGGAAGCACAGAAGCTGTTTCAAGTCCTAGCAAAACCTCCATCCCTCGTTTCCTTACCCGCTAAATAAGGACAAAACAGTATACCCAAAGAGGTGATCAAACTAATACGTGCAACGTGCTACACGGGAACTCCACCCGTGCTCGGTAAGCATTCAGTAACTATCTGCCCCCCATTCCCACCCGTTTTATTCCTCCCCTAAGATAGCTTAAGCATCTGGGAAGTCTTTCTGGTCATAAACCTCCCAAGGAAGTTTAGTTTGTTTTAGTGGCTGGAGAAGCGTAATGAACTATCACTCTGCAGCCCACAAGCACGTGCGGTGAGCAGGTGTCACCTGGAAACGTACACCAAGAAGGCGCGCCCCGAGGTCGGTCCCCCGCTCGGCCGCCCGCCGCGGCGCCCCCGGGTCCAGGCTTCTGCACCCCGAGCGGGGCCGCGTCCCGCCGAGTCTCGGGGGACCCC